ATAAGGCCAGTACACAGGGAATATATCCTCTGGCGCAAAAATTAGGCCTGGAAGCCCGAAAGTCCGATTTCCGTGCAGATTTTTACGACATGAACTTACATGTAATAACGTATTATGAAGTAGTTACGATTCTGCACACCTTTTTTCATAAAAGAAAGTATAATACATACTCCAAGTATTGAAATACACGCCATCGTGTTGGGATTCAATATTTCGACATTAATTATGTCATCATCAGGAATCATCATTCTTGATGATGACATAATTAATGTCGAAATATTGAATCCCAACACGATGGCGTGTATTTCAATACTTGGAGTATGTATTATACTTTCTTATCTGAGATTAATCAGTGGACCTTTCGGTTTTTTCATAAATTTTTTGTAGAAATATAAGGTGTTATCTGCACAATCAAAAAAATACTTTACAGTATGGCCATACGCTATCTTGGTAATAATATAGTCAAAAATCTAGGGACACTCACCATTACTGAGATACAGTACTATAGCGTACCATATTCCTAGCCACAATAATTAGATACTATAGTTTAAAAAGTTATCCGAGATCAAAGTTTCTGATCTGGGACTGACCTAAATCTAGAACAAGTCTAGGCTTGGCAGCTTTATAGGCAAGCATATCATTATCTGCTGTTCTCTCATGTATACTGTTCTTTATTATTGTTTTTACTTTTCTTGCATATAGAACTATTGAAAGGTAGGTCTAGCAGCAGACAGAAGCATCAATTCTGTCAGAGGAGACCGATACAGTAAATATGAGTGTGAAAGCATTTGAACTTGTCCCAGCAATAGAGAGGTTGCAATTGTTAGGTGACAAAGCCAAGACTTCGGTATGAATATTATTTTTGTATGCTCTGCCCGTGCTATCAGGGTTTATGTAACACATACTGTCATTTTCCCATATATGAGGGTATGATGATGTCATACCACATCCATATAGCATAATGATATGTCATACATGGCAATTCACAGGTGATTATCACATGAAACTTGATAGTATGGACTGATAATTACTTGGATTTATATTAGAAAGCTTTCATTAACTCGTTTGAGAACCAATCCTCTGAGAAAAATGCATATTTATGTGTATGACTTTTCCAGCTTGGGCCTAGTTTTATTTTTCTCGTACTCACAACCCAAGATTCAGCCGCTGGATCCCGGGCGATGAATCGAGAATCAGAAACAGAATATATTTGCAACATTTTAATGAAATTTGATTATATTCTATATTAAATTATCATCTACTTTGAGGAAATCATCATAGTTAATAATAATTGAAAAATTTACACAAATTTTTCGCAGATGTTCACATATTCAATGTATTGTGTCCTAGGATAGGCCCTAGCCATTCCGTACCATTCAATTAGCCATTGTGCCACCACGGCCTAAGCATGTACAACGGCCGTAGCAACAGGCTGTAACGAGAACTGGTAACATTCTCGATAAATTGGTTCTCCAACAAGATAGCGAAAGCTCTCTATTTCTTCAAAAGATTTGTTCAAAATGTACTGTCTGTGTTGAGCTTCAATATAATAACCTTAAACAATAAAATTCATTATTTGAATTTGCTTAATTTGTATGTTTAATGCTTGCCTCAGTATACCTTGCAAAAGGCAAGTCTATCGTTGCAATCACTGCACCTTTTACAGGCAATTTAAGGCATAGGCATTACATCAGTACTCAATATTATAGAATACAGTATATTATTGAGTACACCTGTAGAATTAAACAGAAGTTGTACTTCATAATACATACAGTAGTCATTGTTATTCATTTATTAATTTAATGTTTTAATTGCAAAGTTTCAGGTATTTCCAGATTATTTAAAACAAAATAATATCTTTGATTTGTCCAAATTTTTTTATTGTTTCAGATTGAATGCATTGAATGTTGTGGGAAAAATCTATACATTGGAACAAGTGACTGGTAATACTGTTGTTATTGAAAGTTAAAAAGAGCATTTGTCAGTAAACCTGGGGAACAGTCAGTAAACCCAGACAGAGTAATTTATTTTGTATACTGTACAGAGCCATTTATATGGTGGCATAATTAATTAAATTGCATTTTGTTTCATTAACATTAACAGCTTTGTTGTGCATTTTCTACTTGAGGAGAAGGTTCAACCTAATGGGAAGATATCATTCACAAGTGATAAGCAATCTCACAAGTATTTAGCTGTTGTAAGTTAAT